TTGTAATTTCTCAAGTTTTTGGGCAAAAACTTGAGAAAAAAGGTGTACTATCAAGTTTAATTAATGAAGTTCCGCCGCCGCTTTGCCCCGTGGTTNATTGGAGAGATACAATTGATTGTAATTTCTCAAGTTTTTGGGCAAAATCTTGAGAAAAAAGGTGTACTATCAAGTTTAATTAATGAAGTTCCGCCGCCGCTTTGNAAAAAGGGAATTTTATTTATACCATCAAATGAAAAAAAAAATTGCATTAAAGAATCACAATAAAGAAGAAAAAGAACCCGCAGACCAAGGAGATATGGGTTCAGATGCACAAAAGCAAAGCAATCTTTGATCCTTTTTTTCAAACCAACGATACGATATCGAAGATAATTATGCGCGATTAAATATGAAAAAATGTAAAATCAAAAATAAACAATATAAGGGCAACACGGAAGTAGATGCTTCTAANGATACGATATCGAAGATAATTATGCGCGATTAAATATGAAAAAATGTAAAATCAAAAATAAACAATATAAGGGCAACACGGAAGTAGATGCTTCTAATCAAATAAATGAAATAATAATCAATAATATTATGGTATATTGTGTCCTGCTTAGACTGAGAAATCCAAGAAACATTTTTATATCCTCTATTAAAAGAGAATAATTGAGTACAAATATAATGTCAANGAAGATAATTATGCGCGATTAAATATGAAAAAATGTAAAACCAAAAATAAACAATATAAGGGCAACACGGAAGTAGATGCTTCTAATCAAATAAATGAAATAATAATCAATAATATTATGGTATATTGTGTCCTGCTTAGGCTGAGAAATCCAGGAAAATTTTTTATATCCTCTATTAAAAGAGAAGAATTGAGTACAAATATAATGTCAATTCAAAAGAATTTAACTCCTACATAATTGATCAAAAAAGGGGTTTTAATTATTGAATCAGTTCGTCTGTTTGTAAGAAATAATGGACAGTTTATTATGTATTAAACCAAAGGTATTTTATTGGTTCATAAGTGTAAACGTCAAACTAATTAAAGAAATCAAAAATGAGGTTATGTTTTTTTTTTTTTTTTGATCAAGAAAAAAAATCATCATTCTTTGGAAGAAAGATTTTGATGAATCTATTTCCAAATGTCAAAGAATTACTGGAAATAGAGATAAAAATCATTCAAATTTACTTGTTCTTAAAAATATTTTGTCATCTAGACTTTGTACGGAATTTAGAATTCTAATTTATTTCAGTTTAACGAATAGAAATGTTGTGAAATATAATTCCGTTATTTTCAAACAACAACATAAAAAATCTATGGTATATGAAAGTAAATTGATGTACACACACCNTGTTGTGAAATATAATTCCGTTATTTTCAAACAACAACATAAAAAATCTATGGTATATGAAAGTAAATTGATGTACACACACCATGTATTATATCTCATTCTAATATACGTCAATGAAGTATCAATTACATCTAAAAATAAAGTGAATTGAATCAACAAAATCTTCTTTATTTTTGGTGTAAATATAAATTATCCGCTTTTTGTGAGTGCAAAAACCTATCATCCTTTTGTAACTCTATCCGAATCCAATTTGATTGATTCATTTTAATTGATAAAATTAGGAGTTGATAAAAAAATGAGATTATTAGGTATATTACATTCAAATTACTGTTGTTATTATTGAAACTCAATAAAATTACATATATGTAAAGTAAAAACAAGAGGAGGAGATTTTTTTATGGTAAAAAATTCATTCATTTTCGGTACTTCACGAGAAGAAAATAAACAAAACAAGGGGTCTATTGAATTTCAAGTTGTCAGTTTCACCAATAAAATACGGAAACTTACTTGATACTTGGAGTTGCACAAAAAATACTATTTTATCTTAGAGAGGTCTAAGAAAAATTCCAGGAAAACTTCAATATCTATTAACTTATTTTTCAAAAAAAAAAATAGAGCAGTATATAAAAAAAGAGCAATGCTACATAGACTTTATTTGGGGACTTAAAGATATGACTTCAATGCAACCATTTGATTAGTTGTGAATTTCAATATTAGATAGAGTCCACAACCAATCCAATAATTGTGCATCATTAGGTCGCCAAATGATATCCTCAAATTAGGTCCAAATACCATTTTCCATAAAGAAATAATGGGTTAGTAGGATATTCAAGAACCACAAACTCATTAATTTGACGAATTTTTTTGGTCGTTTAAATTTTGATGAACTTCTTTTCACTTTTAGTAATTCATGGAAGAATGAATGGAGAAAAACTTATAACTCCACCAGCTATAAGAAAATATCCCATGATAGTTGATATGAGTCCTCACCACCCATCAACGCATGATGTTTTTCGATTCATCATTACTCTAGACGGTGAAGATGCTATTGAGTACGAGCTAATTTTTGGGTTATTTGCTATGACTTGGTCCTTTTTATGGCAGATATTGATGCATAATTATTTTCATTTCAGAGCAGTTGCTGATCTATCTCAGGAATGTATAGATAAATATTAAAATTTTTTAGATTATTTTTGAACTGAGGTTTCTGAATATGAAAAGCTTATTAGACAAAATTCTATTTTTTGCCTACGCTTGACTACTAAGAAGTGGACGNTCTATCCGAATCCAATTTGATTGATTCATTTTAATTGATAAAATTAGGAGTTGATAAAAAAATGAGATTATTAGGTATATTACATTCAAATTACTGTTGTTATTATTGAAACTCAATAAAATTACATATATGTAAAGTAAAAACAAGAGGAGGAGATTTTTTTATGGTAAAAAATTCATTCATTTTCGGTACTTCACGAGAAGAAAATAAACAAAACAAGGGGTCTATTGAATTTCAAGTTGTCAGTTTCACCAATAAAATACGGAAACTTACTTGATACTTGGAGTTGCACAAAAAATACTATTTTATCTTAGAGAGGTCTAAGAAAAATTCCAGGAAAACTTCAATATCTATTAACTTATTTTTCAAAAAAAAAAATAGAGCAGTATATAAAAAAAGAGCAATGCTACATAGACTTTATTTGGGGACTTAAAGATATGACTTCAATGCAACCATTTGATTAGTTGTGAATTTCAATATTAGATAGAGTCCACAACCAATCCAATAATTGTGCATCATTAGGTCGCCAAATGATATCCTCAAATTAGGTCCAAATACCATTTTCCATAAAGAAATAATGGGTTAGTAGGATATTCAAGAACCACAAACTCATTAATTTGACGAATTTTTTTGGTCGTTTAAATTTTGATGAACTTCTTTTCACTTTTAGTAATTCATGGAAGAATGAATGGAGAAAAACTTATAACTCCACCAGCTATAAGAAAATATCCCATGATAGTTGATATGAGTCCTCACCACCCATCAACGCATGATGTTTTTCGATTCATCATTACTCTAGACGGTGAAGATGCTATTGAGTACGAGCTAATTTTTGGGTTATTTGCTATGACTTGGTCCTTTTTATGGCAGATATTGATGTATAATTATTTTCATTTCAGAGCAGTTGCTGATCTATCTCAGGAATGTATAGATAAATATTAAAATTTTTTAGATTATTTTTGAACTGAGGTTTCTGAATATGAAAAGCTTATTAGACAAAATTCTATTTTTTGCCTACGCTTGACTACTAAGAAGTGGACGAATTTTTATTGTTGTTTTCAAAGCCAATTAGATTAGCTTGTTGTATTTATTATCTACTGGAACCTTCTGTAAATAAGTGTCATTTGGTAGAGAACCATCTTTGATTACGAAACATTATTTCAATCAAAACTAAAGTAATTTTGGTTAGGGGTGACAATCGTGTTGTGTTGTTGTATTATGTCATTGTGGGTTCGTGTCGAACATTAGTCAACTCTAACCCAACTTATTTAATTAATCTTGTCATGTCGACTAACCTGTTTATTTTCGTATCGAATTCGTATTTGTATTCATGTTAACCCATATAAATCTCGAGTAAAGAACTTAACGCTAAAATTGAAGTCTAAGAATTCTATTATCAATTAATTGAATCAGGCCCATACTTTTTCTATAAATTAAAATTTAGCTTAATAAACATAGCAATAATAATGAGTAACAATGACTTTTTTGTACAATAGCTATATCAATGCTTTATAAATAATAACAAATAATTAGAATTTTATTTCTATAATATTATTTAAAGGTGTTAATCGTGTCAATTTTGTGTTGTTCGTATTTGACACTAATTCAATCCATTTATTATTCGTGTTAATAGATCATGTCATCTACGAGTTCGTGTTGAAAAATTATCAACACTAACCTTCTAATTTTATGCCGAGTTCGAGTTTGTATTTTTAGGTTGTGTCAAAAATTTCGCCCCTAATTTTGTCATATTGACATGCGAAGCGTTATTAGGATTTGTAAATCCTACGCAATTTATGGGTTTGAATTTGGTTAAGTGCACAAATTACTTATGCTGTATATCACTGGCCAATTAGATGAATAGGTTAATTGTGTATTAGCCTACAGTGATCTTTAGTTTGGAAAGTAGTACTCTTTTGGTAGACAACCAAGTTGGTTAGGAAACCTAATTCAACCAAAAGTTTGAGGGTGGAGATATTTTCACTCCTTCAATCACCTTTCCCACTTTATTTAATCCTCTTATATTAAATTATTAAGTTTATCTTTTCTATACTCACTTCATTAGTTATTAAATCCACCTCATCAATATTTACTAATTAAAAATTAAATTTATTCAATTTTATTTCAATCTATTATACAGGTAATAATCAAAATTTCGTTTTTGTGTATTATTTTAGTGCCGAAATTTTTTAGAAGTAAAATAAAAATTAATAAAAAATTAAAAATATTAGTCAAAATATAGTAATATATCTTAAAACACATCAAAAAATTTTAAAGGCATCGGTGAATATATATCAAAATATTTCACCTTGAAATATTGAAATTTTTCTTTAATTATTATTTTTGTTTCGATTTCTTTGATATATATTTAATAGTAGTTTTAAATGAATGAGTATAGCTGAGGCTACAATGTGACATAACTTTTAATTTCAGTGGCAAATTGATATTTTAAAACATGTGGGGGACAAACCACCCTTAGTCCTATCCATAAAGACACACACATGCATAAATTCCTTGAAAAACAGAGGCTTACAAACCTTTTAGGACACTACTTTAGGTGTCATCAGTCCTCTATAAATACAGATATAGGTATCACCAGTCCCCAAGAATTTCCCAAACCCTTCCAACTTTCTCAGATTCTAACAACTTTCCAACTCCCCTCAAGAATCTCCAATCCCTCTCAAGAATCTCCAAACCCTAAATTTCGTTTAGTCCCTTTTCCATATTAGAAGCATCAAAGAGATCTTGTCTTTTAAGATGGCTGGAGGAAAACTTCACTGGTTGGTGAAGAAGCTGACCAAGAAGAATGGCGATGGATACGTTATCCTCAAGGAAATAAATGGCAAGGAACGAGTCCGAAGCGGGTTCTTTCCGGTATATGTGGGTGAAGAGAGCAAGAGGTATGAGATTCCAGTCACGTGGATGTCTTCAATAAGATTGATGGCATTGTTCCTTCAATTTCAAGATGAAATCATACAAGCGGCGGCGGAACCGATAACCTTGCCTTGTTCCACGAAAGAGTTCGAGACGGTTCTCAGTCTCGTCAAGGCGGAGAAGATTAAGCGGTGAAGAATCGATCGGAGGCAAAACTCCAGTTCGATGAAGAAGGTTCAAAACACAGCAATAAGTTCAGTATATGGCGTTGCGTGCTGCATGGCGGTTGGAGCAATGAAGAAGAAGAAGAAGAAGAAGAAGAAGAAGAAGAGAGGAAAAAAAAAAAGGAAAAAAAGAGAGAAAAAAAAAAGAAAGAGAAAAAAGAAGAAGAAAAAAAGAACAAGCAGCTTTGTGAGGATTGGACTTAATGTATTTCGAAGAGAAATTTTTTTTATATTGGAGAGATACAATTGATTGTAATTTCTCAAGTTTTTGGGCAAAAACTTGAGAAAAAAAGGTGTACTATCAAGTTTAATTAATGAAGTTCCGCCGCCGCTTTGCCCCGTGGTTTGTTCCCTCTACACTGGAGGGTTTCCACGTAAAATCTTGTTGTGTTCTTTTGCGTTTGTGGATTGCTTTTGTTTGCTCTTTTTTATGCTTTGATTATTGGCATGATGAATTTCTAGTTAAACTCGGTAGACAACTATTTGCTAGGAGTTTAGTGCAATTTCTTTGATTCACACTTGGTACTAAACTTTAAAAATTCACATGGATTAATTGAATCACAAGATTTTTCAAAATCGCATCCACATCGCAATAGCAAAATTTCAGCAATGAGAATGTAATGAATACATTGCTTGTCCCTGTTGAAAAATAGGAGGAACCCTTGCTAACCTTGAGCAGTACAGTATAGAAGAATGCCAACTTGCAGGTTTGAATCCTCATTGTTTTACTTTTACCAGTCATACCCTACTAATATATACCTGCGGTCACTGCAGTGCTATACTCTCCTTGTTTCTGATTTGTCAGGACTCTTGATATGTTTAGCTTCAAACATATGGTCAAGAACAGTCTCAAGAATACACTGCTGTTCTTCTTTAGAAAAGGCGAGAGAGAGAGAGAGAGAGAGAGAGAGAGAGAGGGCTACATTTTTGGCCCATGTTCTCCCTGTTTCTTCCATGGTACACTCAATGTTGTTTTGTAAATTACAGTTCATGAAAGCAACCCGTCGGCTATGCTTGTGGCAAATCCATTAGAGGTGACTCAAAGGCAACAGTGGAGTTGGAAATTTATTGTAGTAGGGGCAAAAATTTTAGTAACAATAATATTACATGTATTTAATTAGGAGATCTAATTTAAAGATCTAATGCATTATTCTCGTTGAATTAGTAAATAGATTGCTTGATAAATGAACCGGTTGGATTGATTATGATTTGGTTTTAGATGGGTTGTGTATAAAATAAATTCAATTTGTTTTTAACTTGTTTAATAAATAAGTTATAATAGATTGAATCATAACGGGTTAGGTTAAACTCATTAACTCGTAAAATAATTAAAACTCTTAATATGAATACATACTAATATACTAAAAATACACGAACTAATATATCAAAAATACACATATACTAACACACAAAAAACACAAACTTGAAGATGACATTTGTTTTTTCATGCCTTGCAGTGAGCTCGTATTTATTGAAAATAAAGATGAACTTGGATTAATAACAAATTAGCTTATCGTCAACCAAAATAAGTCCAAAATTAGCTCCACATAGTAAGTAACTTGCAAAAGGAAAAAAGAAAAAGGTTTTGGTGATCATACTTGGTGCCGATGGGCTCTCTCCGATTCTTAAATCAAATGAGAACTAAATATGGGTATAGTGCACGAGGGAGGGGGTGAGAGTTTTGGAATCCGATATATAGTAATTATATGTAACATTTCCAATCTTCTTGCATTGGACCATAAGGACCCATGTCCATGGTTGTAATGTGAAACATAAGATACCCATATAAAAAAGTTAAATAAAGAAAAGATTTTTCTTTTGAGCAACAAAATCAAAATGCATGTATTTGATGAAGATGATGATGATAGTGGTGGCCATGGTTGAAATATACAATTCATTATGTCTTGGCATAAAAGCGAAGGCTACCCCCAATTTGATTATTTCTCAATTGTCTCACTATTACCATCAATAATGATGGGTTCTTGTGCCCCACCCTGGCATCTCTTCCAAAGAAAGCAAAACGCAATTAACATTGCATAGTTTATAGCTCATTAATTCTTCTCTCTCCCTCTCTCTCTCTCTCAATGGAAAATAATTTGAACCCTTTCACTCTATGCACATGATGAAAAGAATGAGTCATTTTGATCCTGAAATACATTAATTTAAATAAATCGTGAACAAGGTTATTTATATTCGATTGTTTTTNTTCTCTCTCCCTCTCTCTCTCAATGGAAAATAATTTGAACCCTTTCACTCTATGCACATGATGAAAAGAATGAGTCATTGTGATCATGAAATACATTAATTTAAATAAATCGTGAACAAGGTTATTTATATTCGATTGTTTTTTTTTAAAAAAAAAATTTTAAAGTTGAGGTGTAACTTGATGAATTGACAGGTTATTTTAAGTTCAACTTAAATTAAGAGACCTCAATCTTAGTTCAACAAAAACTCGAATTTAATCCAAATCAGTAAAACCTGAGTATTGTGTGTGTTTAGCTATTTTGATGAGAGTACAACATGCAATAGAATATAATTAACACTTTAATATTTTATACTAGTACCTTTTCTCAGCCTCATGGATAAGCTATGAGTGCTAGGATTAGATTAAAAAGAAAATGTACAATTTAAAAGATGTACCCTTAAACTATGCATTCAGTTATTGCAACAATCAAATACTCTAAATTTTAGTTAAGTTTCAATTTAACCCTTACATCTAATACCTTAATTTGCTCTAACAAAATGACCTCAGTAGACCAATGCATTACTTCCCGCTTGAGCAAAAAATTCTTATTTTACTTTATTTGATTTTAAGGTAAAGAAAGATGATAGATTCCAAAAAAGTACCGAGGAAGGATCTAAAAGATACCATGAGAAAGAGAAAAAAATATGAATAAGTTTTTTTATGGACAAATATACCCAAACGTTCTATGAGAACAAATTACGACATTACTGAAACTTTAAGAATTAGATTGTTACAATTAAAAATTTAAGAACTAAATTGCAATTTGGCGCTAATTTTAAGGGTGTAAAATGTAAATTATTCATTGAAAAATAAAAATAATATGTTAAAAAAGGTAAAGCGTGCTTGATTTGATATCATTCCGTTAGCCATGAAAAGCAGAAACAATTCGGTGTAAAGCCAAATACCTTGGTGCTAAATTAATTAGTGGTGCTTCCGTAATTCTCGGACAACACTACCATGTTTCGGCTCCATTGCGGCTAGCCGGCCGGCCGTCCATACACCAATGTCTGAGCCATTTTTTATTTTTAATTCCTAGCCACTGTACAAAAAAATATTCATTACAACGGTAATACTACGTCGTCAGTGACTTATAATAACTATTCTGATGATTAACTAACACCTTAAAATAATAGGGTTCACTTATTCTATGTGGTATATTTTTATGAGCAATGCTATAGGGATTTTATTTAAGGACCCGATGATGTGACTTCAATGTAATCTTTGAATTAGTTGTGAGTTCTAATATTATATGGAGCTCACAACTAATTCAATGACAAATACATCATTACGTCTCTAAATAAGGTCCAAATAACATTTCTCTATTTTTATTTATTACCGATTCCATGATTCACCTGTGATATGTGGTATCACCGATATAATGAATATTTACTCGTGTAGACTTAATTATGAGGGTATTCATTGTATTACTTAAAATAGAACAAGAATCCCTCTAATATATTTTTTATTTGATTTTTTTCGTGGCAAATCATCTACCATACATTCAAGAAAGACTCATTATATATAAGTAAGTCTCTCACTCATTAATAAAGGATGTTCTGCTAAGAAGAGAATTGAAAAAAAATTATATTGAAGGCGATCTAAATCCACTTAAAATTATATTGACATCCCTTCTTATTCTTATATGCGTTCACATGCTACCTATCCATGGTCGGCCAATCAAAACAGTTAAATGAATGGAGCAATTCGAATTTGGCTGGATGTTGGTCTATTCAAGTTTATACATACTAAAAAATGAATCGAATATAATTTATGTTTTGACATTAGACAGTGTATTGATTGAGTTGTTTAGTATTAGGGATCGTACAAATAAGTTAATATTTTTAGACGAAAAATTTTTTTGGCATGAATTATGTATCATTAGATCAATCTTGACCGTCGTTGCACTTTTATATGTTTTTTTGAACTTAAACTTTTATATGTTCAGAATTCAGCATTGTAATTGTAATATTACCGAGTTGTACAATGTAAGGGTGTTTTAATTGCCGCTTTGTTTTTAGGTTTTCGCTTTTAGTTTTTGCCAAAATAAAGAGCAAAAACTTGTTTGATTGCTATTGTTTTCTTCGACTCTATGTTATGTGCACAAAAAATGTGAAGCAAAACTAGTACTAAATTACTTGTAGCTATTGGATCAATGAATTCTATCATTGATCTAACGACTACAGTTGATTTGGTGCACAAAATTAATGCACATAAAATTATCCAGTAATATAAGTTCTCTAATGTTTTTGGTATGACAGAAAAATAGAATGATGAAAAATTTAAAAGATAGATGAAATATCATGTTTAGTAAGAAAGAAAAATAACAAGGATATAAATAATGGATAGATTAGTTTTCTTTTCATCTAACTAAAATCAATTCATTCAAAATTATGAGGAACAGTGGATGAAAAGTTTATATCCTTTAATATATGCATATATATTTTATTTTCCTGCTACATATTTTGTATATATGAATTGCATATATAAATATAATAATAAAATACTAATTTATATTTTTTCCTTCCGACCACACACAAAAATATCAATATTTCCTAATATTTATTCTTCCTACCAAACAGGGAAAGGAAGAATTTATTCTTTAAATGATAAAAAATGCATCATTTTCACTTTTTATTCTTATATTTTTCTCATCCACCCAATAAAACACACCGTACGTAAGTTTTGATTACCAAACAAACTTTATGTTTTAGTTTTCTATTTTTATTTTTTACGTTGATCGAACGTAGAAACTGTATGACTACGAAACTGACTGGCTAAGGATCTAAGTGGCTCATAGTCTCAAGCCTCCCTCAAAACTTAAAAGCAACCTATCTTTTTCCAGTTTAAAAAGCCCTTCAAAGACCCAAACACAATGTCAGAAACCATCCCTCGCTCTCTCTCAACTATGGCGACAACTAAATACAGGAGGGACTCAGAAGAAGAAGCATTGTTTCGCTCCTACCCATATGCTCTATACTTCGTACATAGCCCATCCACAGTCTCTCATGCCAATAGCGGCGAGCTCAGAAACAACAATGAATCAGCATTCCACTCTCCTCTCCGATCCGAAACCTCCATGAACAACCCAATTACAAGCACAGGCCAAGAAGCTACACAATTTGCACTCTCTCGATACTCTTCTCGTGGATCAAACAACTCGTTCTTGCACGAGAAAAAGATGGTCTATGATCTTCAAAGCCATGGGAATGGGACCGAGAATGGCGACACCCGTCCGGTTTTCGCAAAAGAAGAGATCGGTGAAGATGAAGAAGATGAGGATGAGGAGGCTGAAGAGGAATTGTTTGGGAGGAAAGGTGTGTGGTTGAGATATTTCTCTTTTGGTTATTCTTCTTCGTTTGCGTGGATGTTTCTGCAGATAAGTTGGAGGTTTATGGTGAGCTTTGGAGTTGCATTGCTTGTTTTCTATTTAGCTACTAAGCCTCCACCACCAAAGATGTCTATTAAGGTGCATAATCTCTCTCTCTCTCTCCCCCAAACACACACACTACTTCATGTATGTAGTTGAAATAAAGTAAGGACTCACATGGCAGTCAAACTAAAAGTTTAGACATCTTAAGCTTTACTTTCATAGATCACTAATGTTACATTGACTAAATTTTAAAATTAAATTTAGAGTCAAATGATATGACAGTTGACTTGAACTTCTTTATTTGGTGTCATGTCACTTGTGCCCCAATAAAAACTCCAAATAATGTACTACCACATCATTTGAACTTTAAATTTGATCAGCATAACATTATTGTTCAGAGATAATCTTAATTTAATTGAAACTTGAATGATTATAAGTATAGTTAAACTTTTTTTTTTAAAAATTGTAAGTATGTAAGCTTGCTCTAATGTGGTCATGCCTTTGAAAAATTTTCGTCATCACATAAGAAAACATAGAGTGAGCAGGAGTTTTGCATTATATAGCACATATTTTGGTGTTGTTTGCATACATATCGAATGGATGAATAGATTAAAGAGTGGTCTTCTTCGTGGAATGGTTGTGCGACGGAATATGTTAGAAACGTTTAGAATTGCATTAGTTCACAAGTTAAAGTTAGAATAATGCTATCAAACCCAAGGTAGTTAAAGAGATAAAAAAAAAAATTATAAATTCAGACGTCTTAAATTTGAATTTTAATAACTCCTTAATTTCAGGTCACGAGAAATTTATCTCTCATGAATACTTTAGTCCCGGCGTGAATAATTTACATTTGACCGAACTTAAAAATGGATTAATCGAAGTATGTGTAAGTTGACCTAAATACCCTGATTGTTAACCCAAAAAAAAAAACAGAAAGAATAATGGCATCAAGACTTAATAAAATGATATAATACCCAAATATAGTAATATTTTAAAGAGTGATAGTTACAATATCACCGCTTAAACCAATTGGGCCACAATTTATGGGGTCGTGGGCTGCCCTGGAACAAGATGGCCCACCAACAGCCCTACTTAAGCATACAGATTAGAGCTAGTTTGGGTCATTTTAGCCACCATTCAATCTGGTCTTTGGAAGCAAAATACACAAATTTCAAACAAAACTCCTAATTGAATCGAAAAAAAAAACCGCATAAATTTTTTTCAGTATAAATTTTTTTTTTTTTATAAAGGAACTTAATTCAATGCAGTCATTAGATTAGTTATGAGTTTCAACACTGAGTAAAATTCATTTCCAATCTAATAGTTATAATTGATTAGGTCCTCAAATTAAATCTAAATAACATTTTTCCCGAATCTAAACTCATAGTGTTTCCATAAGTCATGTTGTACACAAGTTGAATGGGCTATGTAGACAACAAATCAGTTACAATTCAAGCATTGCCCTGCTAGAATTTTTGCTTGGTCTAGTTGGGCTTCATAATATTGGTTTGACAGAGGTAAGCCCATGGATCTTTTGGCAATCAATATTTCAACCTTTTTACTTTCTCTATCTCTTCAATTTGGGATTACTTTTTTTTTATTTCTTTCTTTTTTTTTTCATTCCTTTTTGGGGGAGCATTTGCCAATTTCCCAAATTTTTTTCTCAAAAAAAGGATCACACAATCTTTTCACTTTTGGGCAACAAATTTTCTTGGGTTTGATTTTTTTTTTTTTTTGGTTCAACGGTTAAAAATATCCGAATCAATTTTTTTGAATTTGATTTGAATTTATTGACTTGAGTCCAACATTTTTTGGAATTCAATTTTACCCAAAAGCTTAAATTTGATAATCTTCTATTTTCTTTAATTTTTTTTCTGTTTCATTAATAATAAGCAATTCTTTACCAAATTCTTGGGAAGGGGGTGGTGCCATTGCCCTTTCATCAACCTCATGCCCCTGCCTTTACTCTTTGACCTTGCTAGGAAGAGAATTATTTTTATCGGTACTAAAAGGTGAAGATAAAGGAAGAGATCAAACAAAGACAAAATCAAGTAAAATAAAATAAAATAAAATAGAGAGTTCTTGCATTTTTAGGTGTGGTTCCTTAGTTGAGCTTGACTTTTGATCTTATTGGCACGTTCTAATTTAGTTCAAGTTACGGTAGTTAGTTATTAATTTTGAGGGAGTAATTATTATAAGTCTAAACATCATGTAAAAAATTTTTTCATACATACATTTTAGTTTGGATTATAGTTAGATACCAAAAGAGATAAATTACCAGAATTTATAATTTTTCCGAATCAAAATATTATAATTGATCTAAAAATCTCGAGATGAATTCTAAAAATTCTATTTTATTGTAATTTGACCAAATAAAATTATAATATAACTTAAAATTTTTATATTCGGTTCTATGTTAAAAAATATTTTTTTGACGTGGAAATATGAAAATGTTATTATCGTTGTCTCTTGTCATTATCACTGTGCTGTTGTACTTTGTCGTCTTGGGTGTCTTATCGTTGTCGTTGCTAGTGACGTGTCTTCCATGCTTGCTCGATTTGCCTCTATGATGTTTGAGAAATGTCGCCGTCCTTTTAACACAAACATTAGGGAGAATTACGCCGAACACCTTTCATATTTGTCACTAAATCATTCAAACTCTTTAATATTTAAAATATTATACACAGATGTCCTAAGGTTTATACACATATAACACTTAGAATTCTATTGTAAATATATCCGTTAATAAATTACACTTAAACTCCCCTAAATTTATAGATATATAATACTTAAACCTGTTAAATTTAAAATATTATATTTAGACAAAAAATATTTCAATAAAATATCAAATATCAAATATTTTAAATTTTATAATCAAAATTCATGTTCTATTGTATTATTTATTGATATAAATTAAAATTAAAAATTTATTTTTTTCTTAAAAAAATCGTAATTAGTATGCAATTATACTCTCTATTGGAATAAAACTAAAAAAAAAAATCAAACAATGGGTCTAAGTCAGTCATAATAGAATATGAATTTTACATCCAAAATTCATATTCTATTATGTAATTTATTAAAATAAAACCAAAAATAAAAATTTATTTAAAAAAAAACATAGTTTGTATTTATTTATACTATCTATTAGAACAAAACTAAAAAATTAAATAAGGAATCAAACTATAATAGATACAATATCTTTTAAACTTAATTGGAGCAGTTTGGTATTTTAATTTGGTCGTTTAAACAACTAAATTAATTTCTAATGGACAATATAATTGTATACTAATTACAATTTTTTTAAAAAAATTTAATTTTAATTTTTGATTTTATTTTAATAAATGATATAATAGAATATGAATTTTAGTTGTAAAATTTAAAATATTTTATATTTTATATGTGATATTTGATTGAAATATTTTTTGCCTAAGTATAATATTTTAAACTTAAAGGATTTAAGTATTATATACTCACAAATTTTAGGGAAGTCTAAGTATAATTTATTAAGATATATTTACAATATGGGGTCTAAGTGTTACACGCGTATAAATCTCAGGAGGTCTGTGTGTAATATTTCAATTGTCAGGAGATCTGAGTGATTAAATAACAAATCTCAGAAAGTCTAGGTGTAATTCTCCCTAAACATTATACTGCTTAGTCAAATAATTGTGTCGTACCATAAAAAATGTGTGATTGTAAATTTTTTATTATTAAATATTGTTAAATAAAAGTAATAATTTTACCTATAAAAATTGTACCTTTTTTTTAAAGATTGTAATTTTATCTATAATGATAATAATTTTGTCTCTAAATATAATAACATTATCTTAAAAGGTTGTAATCCCACGTCAAGAGATTGTAAACTCACCTCACATCTAGAGGTGATACTTCTATATTATAACTTCATATTCAAATATAGTAATTTTATCATAAATAGTTACTCTAAAGTTAATCTGACGGCTAATATTAATACCCCAAATTTAATAAAAAAAAAATAGGCCGCTAAATGTGTGTTTATGGTGACTTTTAAAAAGTGATTCTAAGACTTCTAACTTTTCATAAACATTTAAAAAAAAAAAAAAAGTAGTGTTTAAAACCGCCACCATCACCACCACCGCCCCACCATCACTCTAACTGCCACCACCTCACCACCACCTTTTCCACAATAATCACCACTGTCGCCACCCTACCACCACCACCACCCCCGCTGCATTACCACCACCATCTCCACTATCACTATCACCACCACCACTACCATTGTCTCACCCCCGACGCCCTACCCTCGCCCCCACCCCCACTGCTCCACCATTATCTACTACCAATTACTATCACCGTCGTCCACCGCCACTACCCACGACTATCATCATCTCACTTCTACTATCGCCCACTGTCAACATCCACCACCACCCACCGGCATCCACTACCACTACCACTACCACAACCTATCACTACTCATTGTCGTCTACCACCGTCGCCAACCATTATCATCCACCTCCACTACACATATCATCACTAACCACCACTATCCCGTCATTGTTCACCACTGTTGCCACTCACTATCACCCACCCCTACCAATACCGCCACCGCCGCCTTTCGCCACCATCCATCACATTATCACCTAGAAGCATCCTTCGTCACTCACCCCCACCATCGTCACTGCCCACCACCACCATTGTTACCCCAAAATCCACCACCATTATCACCGTTACCACTCACGACAGCCACCACCACCACGGTCGTCACCACCCACCACAACCATCACTGTTTTCCACCACTACCACTACTACGACCACTCACTCTCACTATAGCTTGTGTTTAAATTCTTTTTTCTTTCCTCTATATTTAAGAATTGATTTTAAGTATTAATACAAATATATTTATTGTTGACTATTTTTGTTATTATTTCGTGTATTCAAACACGAACAATAACTAGTACACTTATATAACACTAACAGACAACACGAGCCTAGAGCCGAATTCGAATATACACAATTATAAATAGATGGATATAAGTTGAACACATTTTGACAGGACACGATTTAGATCCAACACGACAAGACTCATTGAGTCCTGTAACTATTACTTAACAAAACCTATCTTTTTTTATTGATTTATACAATTGTTTTTATAATAAAAGAGCTACAACCAACTCAGACAAATTAACGTTCATGATGTACCATGACATTTTAGTATGATAAAAGAAACTATAACTTTCGATATCAAGTTGCATCAGCCTGTATGTATGCTCTATAATTGTGTTGGTTTCGAGATAAAGAAATGGTGCTCTGAGTTCATTTAACTCCTCTTTGTGAATGATACAAAGTTACTGATTGAACACCAAAGATAAAATTATGGTGGAATTGTCAAAAGTCTGCATCCCTGAACCAGAGAGGTACATAATCTATGTGGGCAAAGATATAGCTATTGTAACCGTGACTATCGTACCGTACTTGATTAGTCGTAAATTTTGATTTAAATAATTTTAATTATTTACTTAAAAAATTATATATATATATATATATATATATATATATATATATATATA